AGAAAAACTTGTGTTTCTGACCATATGTTTGGAGGAGATGTCCACCATTCAAGCATGTTTGTTGCAGAGAAATTTATTATCCTGAAACAAATTATATAGGAAAACTGAGTAGTTGCTTATGTTTAACATTTTTGTTCATACTTTTACTTCGTCTGCAGACGCCAGTTGTGAACACAAATTCAAATCTGCCTGAAGGTCTAGCGGTAAATGTAAATAAGGCATGGCCAAGTTTACTATGTAAAGGTGAATTTTAAATTGTCATGTATGCAATAATGTTGGGAACTTACAAAGGTGAAGGCTATCAAATGGAATTAGCAACACTTCTTTTTAAGTTTTGATTTCCATTTTGATTGATTTGATAGATATATAAGAATTGCCATGGTCTAATTCAAATGTTTACACAGTGCGAGTGGGGGTTACCTTCATGATTTCACTCGATTTGATTGGTAGCTTGCATTTTATTTTTACCTTGCATTTTCTTCGGAAAGTATGTTCATTTACATCGTCACACTCCATTGTAGTCCGGACAAGATAATTAACTGTTTACATTTACTGAAAGGATCATGTAAACAGTGTAAAAAGATAGTGAACATCATAAAGTTGCAATCAAATCTGAGTTTCAAGTTTTGATTAGTGTTAATTACAATGATTTGCACCCCGATCTGTTAACTGACTCCACTCTTTCTAACGCTTGTTTGTCAGTTTGGGCCTGGGTATTTCTCATTTCGAAAATGGTCCCTTTTAACTAATGGGCCCTCTTTGTTTCAAAAAAATAAAGTTTGGTATATGTTTCTTCCACTGATGAAGTCGGTACACTGTAGCATAACGTTGGATAAAATTTTCAGACAATTTTGTCGTCTTGCTTCAGCAAGTGTAACTTTGCAATAGAGCTCTTTTCATTCAGCTAGTGAAAATGTTGTAATAGAAATGTTTTTGGAAGCAGGCGATAAAAGTTTGCTGAAAATATCAACTTTGGTTGGTGTCCTCTTTTGCCTCAAAATACATTTTCCCCATTACTTTCAAAGGGACCGTGTATTACAATTTGTATTTTGCTGCAACTGCATCTTTGTGTTCCAATTTTGCTACTTTAATCTGTTTTTCGGAAGCTCTTTATTTTTATGCTAATGGTTTACATATTGTAGCGACGGTGCCGACAGGCCGGTGGGGGCGCTGTTGGGGCTCCATGGGGCTGTGCCGGTCCCTGCAGGTTGGGCTTTGGGCCAGCCCCTGCGGCGCTGGCGCAGTAGCCCTTTGGGGATTTTCATTACCTCAAAATTCGCGCCAGTTCTGACACATATTTTTGGTGTGCTTCGGTCCAGTGCAGTGCTATTGTGAGAGAAGATCCAGATTTGCTTGGACTTTGCATAAAAACTCCGTGTGTGTTCACCGGTTTTGAGGATAAATTGCCGGAAGCCACTGGACAAGATTACAAGCGTTTGTGACCTTTTTTTTAGCTCTGTACGAGACTCACAAAAGCGGCAACATTACAATATTCATGGCAAAACTATGAGCAGTCCAGGCAATGAACCTCAGTATTGCATCGATCTGTTCGTACTGCCCTGTTGTAAATTGCCATTAATTCTTTTGCAACGTATCGCGTAAGTGCATGGCAATAAGCCAATGAGTGACCTTTTTTAAGAAATGCTTTCAAAGAGCAAACTTGGTGTTCAAAATTTGAACATGAAAACTTGTTAACTGAACTGTGTCTTCCCTGATTTACATCAAAGCAAAAGTGCTCTTATTTTATTGGAACTTGACATGCGTGTAAAGACATCCTTATCATTACAAATGTGAAGTTTGAACTCTGAAATATCATGTAGCTAATTGTAGGCGTTCTCGCTGTTGATAAGCGAGCATGGAACAACAGCTGCCTGAACAATCGCGATGCGAAATCGAAGTCCGCGTCACATCGCACTTCTTGATTCAATAAGAGCAAGGTGGTCTGGCTATTTAGCCTACAAACGCTGGGCACCGAGACAGTTGGACTCTCTCTAAAGTAAGAATGCAGTGTCTCTCATGGGGTCGTTGTAAACTCATTTCAAATTACAACCTCATTGTGGCGATACGTCGATGGATGTTTCCTCCTTTAGAAGCTTGGCTTTCAAGAGGCCATTAGCTGGTTGCGCTGTGGCCATCTGGTCGAGTGTAATATTGCACGATGTGAATGATGTGGCTTTGATAATAATTGATAAGAGTGGGGTGTTTTCACGGGAAACTTGGGAAATGTTTATTCCTTAAAAGTCCCCTTTTCGACCCATTCACAGAGTTGGAATGATTTTGTTCTTGTAAGAATTTCCAACGCCACGCCTATTTTGAAATGGTAAATCCTTCAAAGATTTGCCCAATAGCACCAACAGTTACTGGAGGCCAGTTGCACACGTAATGTCTGTAGACCTTTTTACTATTAATTCATAACTATGCTCGGATGCGCACAAAATGGCCTTGGCAGCAAGGTACGTGTTTTACAAATGCACTGGTCGGCTCCAAGAACACTAACAATGTAATTTATACTACTTATGGTGGAAGGGGGCCCTGTCAAGAAACGGTGATCTCGTGCGCACACGATTATAAAGTGTTTTTAAAGAGCACTAAAAATTCCAATTAGAAACTAATAGCAAACACGATTTAAAGCCAGAAAACCCGAGAGAAAATGATCATCGAAGTCGCACCCCTGTACATTTTCAATGGCCCGCTCAAACTTCTTGCCACCAAAGCCATTTGTGCGCATGTGTGCATAATTATGACTTCATTAGCAAGAGGTCTATTGGCAATGCTCGTTCACTTACCAGCAGAGCAGCATGCAGCGGTTGCTGTATGGCTTCTTCCAGCGTTGCCACTGCTTGAAAATTTTGCAAGATCCTTAAAAATTAAGACCCATCATGAAAACTTGAAAAAAAATCTGAAAAATCAAAAAATCCTTACAAAATTTAAAAAAGGAATATTCAATTTAGACTATCGTCCAATATATGGCCTATGAATTTACTGGTATTTATTATAAATTTTGTGATCTTAAAAAGCGTCTGGATGCCATACTTTGAGTCATACTCCCTAACTCACGTCTTGTTCCGAGTACGAGATTGTGATTACTCATTACTCTATTACTGAGCTATGCGTATAGTATCCAAGTCATGACGCGTGTAAACTTATACTGTCCAGTACGTGTCAGTCCGTGCAAAATAATGGTGCCAGTTTAATGAACAGCCACGACAGCTTGCTATACCCAGCAAGAAATGAGACCGAGGGGTACCCCCCCAACATGTCCAATCCCTGTACCCATTCCAGACTATTGTTACTTAACACATCCCCCCAAGATGTCTGAAAGGAATTCCCCAGATTCCTGCGAGACAATGACCAACACAAAGCAGGGGGTGGGATTCTCTCCGTCTCATACCTTGCTGCATATGTCAGCTTGCTGCATAACGTTTCTGCGTGAACAGAAAAAACATTGTTTATGTGTATTTTGTAACGTGAACAAAGGGTTATGTAATAATTTACATAAGCTTGAAACATCTTGAAAACTATCAGACCCTGAACTTGAAAAAAAAATTATCCAGTGGTCACAATGGTTTCTTGATTTGCTATGGAAAGCCATGGTTGTGTGAAGGTGCTAAATTTGGGGCCTGCAATCCTGCTATTCAGGACAAAGGAGGCTATTTTGCCAACAATGGTAGAATACTGTAGTGCTTGGGTGTGTGTAAGTATCTGATTGGAAAAGAGATCATGCGTGAGTTGAATCAGACCAGAGCAGGAAAAAAATAATCATGAGCAAAGACCAGAAGTCATGACAAGAGTAGGCGGTTCAGAGATATCTACTTAGTCTGTTGGAGGCAGTGGTAGTTGTGACACGGGCGCGCATCCAGGAAGTCATAGGGTACATGGGCCATAGAAAGCACGCCCTTGTGGGGAGGGGAGAAGCGCATATAAAAATTGAAATCTGTTATGCTTTCTTCGGCATTCTAAGGATATTTGAGATAAGAATTTGAAACTTGAGCTTTTCGTGTAAACTTCTGCCTCCATTTTACAAGAATCACAAAAACAGAGGCTGAATGTGGGTTGTAACCCAACAGCCTACCGTTCCTAAATCGGCTGCTGAATTCTTGAATAGTTTGTTTCACACAGGCTTTAAATTCACTCCGGCATTCTTTTCTGCAGTGTTCACAGTCGGATAGAAATAACGATGCTACTAACACGGTCGGCTGTGTTACTAGTGACCCTCGTCTTGTCGTCCTCACTCCTGTCAACTGCCTCGACGCATGACGAAGGAGGGGATGCTCACGCCACTAGACAATACAGATTTCTACTGTTTGCCTCTATTACGGGCGGGAGCCACTACATCGCCTTATGCAAATCGGGTAGGGTCCTGGTGCGACAGGGTCACCGCGTTGTCTCCCTCGTCAGTAGCTCTAACTCCAACAGTAGCTGGCAGAAGGACGCCGACTTATTCTCCTTCGTTGTCTTCAACTCCACTTACACCAAACAGCACAGAAACGAGATCGTGGACAACATAGGCAGGGTGATTGTCCGAGGACATCATAATTCCTTCTGGGGACCCTACTTCCATTCGGCAAACCTGACAGGCAGGTTGAGCTTTGTGGACATGTGGCTTCAAGAATGCGACGATTTGTTGGGGGATGCAGCAACGATGGAACGGCTGCGTGGCGAGAATTTTGATATGTTGGTTGTGGACGACGTTATACCTTGCGGTCCACTGTTGGCACAGGCTCTAAACATCCCATTTATTCATAACTCGGTCTACTTCGCGAATCCGTCCAAGCATGGATGTTGGTAAGACTTGAATTAGTTTTTCCCTTTCTTGGTCTATAGATTGAATCATTGGATATCATGCTCTGAAACAAAAACTAGAGGAATGAATAGGCACTCCTCGCCCTAGACAACAGAATCGGATTCAGTCATGATTGGGAGATTTTTGAGATGCTCAGTGATGGCAAACATACCGGTCCCACGTGACTAGTCCACTATGGTTTGCGACATTCTGAGCATGCGTACATTAGCTCATGGTGGAATAGTCACTCGGACAAGTTTTACTCTTCTACACCGCTCTGATGGGGTGCTGTAATTGGGAAGGCCGCGCATGACGTAACTTTTGTCGAGCACTCATTGGACAGAGATCGTTTGAACAATAACATGGTTCAGAAGCCCCGTGTGCGAAAGACGTGTGCAATGATTGAGGGAATTGGAGGGCGAGAGAAATTTTCGGTACAGCACTGAACCCCTTCGATACCTCGAAATACCACTCTGCCATCAAACCTTGATATCACGGTGTTTTGTTTGTTTGTTTGTTTGTTTGTTTGTTTGTTTTTGTTTGTGTATTTGCTTGCTTGCTTGCTTATAGAATCTGATGGTTTCAGTGCCGCCATTTGGAATTACGGTTTCATGAAGGAAAGGACTTTCATGTAACCGTTGACCACACGTGGCTTTTCTGTTAACTGTATTGTATCAAGAACCTACCGGGGTGAAACGGAACACATCATTGGTAGGGCAGAATCCCTTGTGGTTGGTCATGCATGAAAGTATAGTGTCTGTTTGTCTGTTTAAAGTTTTAAACATTTTGAGATCATGTGTCCGTCGTGAAACCAATAAAACTACACAGATAATTTCAAAGCAAAAATGTGTTAACCATATGAGGCAACTTTTGATTTGTAAGAATTTAAATGAAAACAATTAGGTTTTGTGAATGTTTATCTGAAAATCATGATTTATTGAAGTTAAAATATAATAAAATGTAGGCCTATTTCGATTTAAGAAAATGCGTAGAGCACAATGTGTAGAGCACAAATGGGTTGTTTTACCCTATCAAGTGGGTTTTTTGTGCTCCTACACTTAGAGCATAGCAAAATGGACCAGTGATTTGAAATTATCAAATCTTCTTGTCACCAAGGTAGTGTTCCTGATTATTTGTGCAAATTCAGTTAAGGTACCGCACTCTTAATTTGAGTCTCTGTGATGTTTACTTTTAATATTGTTGTTTTTTATAGTTAGGGATATCGTTTTATCTCGTCCCCCTTCATGTACATTGATCAATACTGTAAGTACACCAACAGGGTTGTTACTTATTCCCTTCTTAGTTAAGATTTTGTGAAAGGTATTTGACCTTCTCAGTGCCCTGTAAGGACGATGCGGCAAATGAGCGAATGGACCTGTCCAAAATCATCTTCGGGTCTCCTTTTCGCCTTCAAACTTAGTATTTGTTCGAGGAGTAGGGGCAGAAAGTAATATTTCCCATTTTCTTTTATCCTAACCAGGGCTGGGCTACCAATTGAGCCATCCTACGTACCAGAGCTTGCCCTGGGACTCACTAACAAAATGACGTTTCTCCAACGAGTCCAAAATACTTTAGCCCATTATATCTACGGCTTTATCCATTTTCGTCTGGGTCTGTGCAAGTTTGATGGCTATGATAAGTTGAAAATCAAGTACAATATCAAGCCAGAGATCAGCACCCTCGAGTCCTACAAACAAGCCGTCTTGTATTTCCTACACGGGAGTTTCGCGTTAGAGTTCCCTCGACCTCTACAGCCCAACACGATCGTTGTTCTCCACAATGCCGGACTGCACTCAAACGAAACGGTAGGCCGCTTTCTTGGAAAAATAATCCTGAAAAAGCCAAGTTCTCTTAATTAAAAATCCAAGTAACCAAGTTTTAACCCGAATAAGAGTTCCCACAGTACCTGGTTTCAAAGATAGGACTTGCGCGAGCTTGTATTGATAT